ATAATTGCAATACTCTTCTCATGATTATGCTTTCGAGGGAATGTTATTATCTTTACTTTAAAAAAAATAAAAAAATGAAAAAATGAAAAAAAATGACGAGAAAAAAGAAAAAGACAAAAATACAATAAGATTTGTTCTACTCCAATGATTCTTGTACTTAGTAACCGGGTGTCTTCATCTAAAAATGTCGACTTTCGCGTAAAACGGTACTTGAATTAAGAGTATGCAAAGCAACTTGAGTATGTGAAGTGTTGAGTAACCGGTGATCTTCATCTAAAAATGTCGATCCTCGCGTAAAAAAGATACTTTCACAACTTAAGTAATATTTAGCTATATTATATAAATAAATCCCTCTTTAAGTTAAATAAGAAGATGATCATGGGTTTAGGAAGCATTTTATTGATCATATGAGTTACTTGCTTGTGAAATTGAGTAAGAATGAGAAATTGAATTAAACTTGTTATAATTATGGTATAATTGGCTCTCCTTTACTTGATATTATGAGTACTTGAGGTTATTGAATGATTGCATAGTAGTTATTTACTTTGTTTTGAGGAAATGAAGTTGAAATGCTACATATGTTTATTTTCAAATTTTGGATCATTGTTGGTTTATATTTCTTATTGCTTGAGGACAAGCAATGGTTCAAGTGTGGGGGTATTTGATAAGAATATATTTTACGTTTTTTTAGTGTGTTTTATTAGTTAATTTTGGTTTGATTATTTAGTTTTGTAAGTAAAATAACTAAGGTTTTGGTAAAAAACTACATTTTATGTTAAAGTAGCTAAACATTGCATTTTATGGATTTTTATGGTAAAAACTTCATATTTTGTAGGTTTAATGATTCAATCATCCAATGAAGGGCATTGAAAAGATATTTGGATGATTGAAAATGGATTAAAGTGGTGAAAATAAAATATGAAGTGTAAAAGGAGAAATGCAATTTGGATCAAGAAAAGTCAGCTTTGACAACTCTGACACGTTTTGGTATTTCAACTATATCTGCAGCTACACAAATTGGATTGAAGTGATCTTTATACCATTTTGAAACTAAGAAATAGATCTAAATTCGGTATGAAGACATCAGAATCCAATTCAGCCGATTACTCAGTCAAAAAGTCGAAATACCAAAATTCAACACTGCTGTCCAAAGTTGAAAACAGGGGTTTGACCAGGTATTAGTATTTCGGTCATATCTCAGTCTACAAAGCTTCGATTTGGATGATTTTTGAAGCATTGCAAAGCTAATTCAAAGGGCTAAAACTTTTGTGTTTTGCACAAAAGCTAGTTCGGCCTCAATCATAGAGAAAATTGCAGTTGAAGTGAAGCCAAAAACACAGAATTGAAAACGCGAGTTAAAAACACGCGACTCCAAGCCGTGTTTTGAAGCCAAAATTCTGCAATTTGCTTAGCCATTTCTCTTGTGTTCAGACTACTTTCCAGGTATAAGTTGCAAGGGAATTCGGTGCACATGCTTCAGAAGACAAAATGGCAAGAAAGGTGGCTTATTTTCAAGTCAAAAACATTTGTTATTGACTATCTTAACAATTTCAGATTTGGAAATCAAGTGTGGAAAGTTTGACCAGTGAAAAATGAGCTTTGGAGTAGTTTATATGCAGAGACATTTGGGAGGTCTGAGATGATCATATGGGAGAAGCTTGGAGTCTGCAAAAATGTAGCTTTTCCATTCTCTTAGTGTTAGATTAGTTTAGTATAGAGTAGTAATTCATCCTTCTTGTTTATTAGCTAGGCAAAGATGAAGAAGGAGATGAAGAAGGCAAGGAAAGAGCTCATGTGACAAGGGTTATTTTTTCTTTCCAACTCTTTATCTTTTGTACTTGATTCTAAGTTTAGTTAATATACAAGTTATGGATTTATATGTTATTATGTGTTTCTAAAGTTTATGCCTTGGGTTTGGTTGAACTTTCTATAATTGTTAGTGTTTATTATTTGGTTATTTGATTGCTATGATTTGAGCAAATTATTTAGCACTTTGGCTCTTTAAATCATGATTAATCTGGTACCATTGATTGTGATTACCTAAGGTGTTGTTTCTGCAATGAAAGTTGAGATTTAACACTAGTTCAAGAAGTGCTAAATATAGGGAGTACACTCACGAAAGTAGAGGTACACCTATGTGGTTTTTAGTGATTCATTTCATGTAATTTCACTGAAGAAATGAACTTGTAGCTAATTTCATAACCATGAGAATAGGTATGATTAGTTATAAGTATAATTGATTCACTACGAAAGTAGGATTCAAATGCATAAGGAAATTACACCATAACTAACCTACATGTAGTACTCAATGATCCAAAAATGGCAATTGCATGAGTAGTTAGGGATATCATAACCTAAGGAGCTTTTATTTGTTATTTTGTATAATTTCAGTAGGTTAAATTTGTTATAATTCATTGATAGTCTAAATAATAGAGAAGCTTTAGTAATACCGGTAATTGTTCATTTTTTCCTGTGGATCGACCCGATATATACCCTAAACTACCAGTTGACCTGTATACTTGCAGTGAACGTGTGTAATTTCGAATTTTTTAACTTGTACGTATGTAAAATACCCGTCAAGAAGATTAAAAAGTCAAAAGTACTTCACACCTATAATTTGTTTACTAGATTCATTTGTAGATGTCATGATCCTTTTTAATAAAAAATTTAATTGATATAGAATATGTGTCAAAAAGGGCAATGCTTATAACAATTATCATTAGTTTGGATTTATTGGTTCTGAATTCTTTTTTTTTTTTTTGCATACTCTTTGGATATTTGTTTATGGCATGACACTTTTTTCTAGGTAAAATCTATATTGAACATTTGATGGATATGTAAAATATAAAAATAAATTAGTGTAACTTATTTTTTAAAAACATTAAATGATGAGAAGGGTGGGTTGGGTACTTGATAATCGAATACCAATTGATACGCAGAGTGAATAAGATTAGAAAATGACAAAATACGAATCAAGTCAGTCAAATGCCCACAAGATGGGTACCTAGCCCATGTCCATCCCCATCCAAATTTACGAATTCAATCCTAATCCTAGTTAGACAACTAATATTCTACGACTAAGATCTAGTAATTTACATCTATAAATTTAGAGAATATTATGATGATTCATTTTCAAATCTTACGTTTCATGAGGTCGGACCATTTATATTATTCTTCTTAATTTTATGTGAAAAGTAAATATTTTCCACGATGGCTTGAACTTTTACACCATTACTGTATGATTTGGGCATGTTGAACAAACTTATTAAGTCATATATTTTCTATATCTCTTTGTAATCTGTCATTTTGCTTTTAACTTAAAGATTGCAATGGAATGTGATTTTGGAAGACTATTGGCATTCCACCAATCGGAATTAGAAAATATCAGGCAGTGAAATGGATGGTTTCCGAATGCCTCATTTATCAAAGATATAAGTTACCATTATAGTTTTGTAGTAAGAAATCATGTTTACAAGACAGAGATTTATGTTTCGTTTTGTCATTACTGGTTTTTAGATAACAATTACTGTGTCGACGCAATAAAACATCATCAAGATTCTTTCCATAACTTTAGGAGAAGCCCTACGCGTACCTAAATTTCTAGAGTTTTTTTTTCCCAACCCACTTTGTTTTACTTTACGTACTTTATTTAATTTTGATGTATTATAACTAATAGAGTTTCCAAATCAATCCGGTCTTTCATATCAATTAGTTTACTTTAATTGAAACCATCATGCAAGAAATTTGCGTGTGTTTAACATTCCACATTTATGCTCATTAAGGTTTTACAACGAGTATAAATAAACACAAACACGTTACATACAGTTATTACATTAATCTTTCAGTTTTATCCTTCAATTCCAATATAACCCCTAGGTATCTAGATTAGTATTCATTTATTTATTATTTTGGTTTGCTAATATCTACCAAAACCTCTTTTTTCTTTTTGAGAGAAGTACAGTTTTAGTTTCAAATGTTTGAGATATGAGTGTTTTTAGTTCCTAAATTTTAGATGAAGGCAAATGACGTCCTAGATGTTTCAGCTATCATGCAAATTTGGTCCTAATGACTGGTTTTTCCCAATTACTACTGAAATCTGTTGATAATTAATTTTTGAAAAATTTTAAAATTTGATAAAATGTTACTAGCTATAATCTGGAATAAAAGATGACTGATTATGTGATCTACATGTGAGTAATTAATCATCTATTACTGCAAATTATGGCCAACAATATTTTTCTTCAAAAAATTAATTGCCGGACATAGTAGCACGTGATTGGATTCGGGTAGCAATTGGCAAAAATCAGTCAATAGGATTAAATGCATTTAGAGATTGAAATTTTGGGACTATATTTGTTTTCGTCCAAACTTTAGGAACTAGAAACATTCATGCCCCGAACATTTGAGACCAAAAATCCAATTCTCTATCTCTCTCAGCAAAAGTGAATAGAGTAATCTTCACTGAGGTATGTATGATCCCTTAATGTATATTTCGTTGGTTCTAAAATATTTGTATTCATGATCTACAAACAAATATTCAATACAAATTAACTCTCCGTGCTCTCAAGAAGGTTTTGGTTAAAGAAATGCAATTTGGATCAAGACTAAGATAGCTGTATTTGTGTTCTTATGGGATCCCAATAACATAATAATTGGGCTTTCCAACAATGCATTCGATGTTTTGAAAAAGCAATTGCATTTGTTTCCGGTATCCTTCTTTAGATTTTTGGCCATGGTATGGAATGAGATTAGGCGTAACCTGGCTTGGGAGTTCAGGATAGAAAAGAAAGACGACAAAACTTAAGTCACGAGAAAAAGAAATAGAGAAGAGGAGAGATTTTCCTATTGTTTGGATCAAGAAGTTATATGTATATTATATTTCCTTCTGTAACATTGGCATTTTCCAAATAAAAATCTAACAGACATTTTTCACTTGCCCTCCAAATTGGAGAGTTTTGTTTCCTTCCTTATATTTTACTCTTCAGAATCAATCTGCTTAATTACATGAATTTCCAAGTAGTAAGAGAATGGATGGGAGTTCCCTTCCATCCAATGACTATACCTTTACCAGTATTGATAAGATTGCAGGAGCTGGCCTTATGGAACTTCTTGAGAATCATATTAGCTTGTTGCAGAGATGAATGGCTGAGTTCGACCTCCACCATCCCGTATCTTGTGAAGAACTCTCTCCAAACATCAATCATCACATTTCGGGTACATCTTTTGTCGCCCTCGCTCCCAACCATGTTTCTAATCCCTTCACCCAAATAGATTCCCTCAATCGTCTTCCGGTGCTCATTATTCCGCTCCATGCAGTCCTCCAGGCAATCAAAGAATGCGCTATAAAAGAAGAGGGATTCGGTGAAACGGCTAATGAATAGCGGTGAATTGTGGTTGGCTTCTACCTCGGTGACTACCACTACCGCCGGCTTCATCCTCCTGATCACTTTGATTACATTTCTCAAGCTCTCAGGTTTTGAGATCATGGTTCTGAGTATTAGGGGAGAGTAAACAGCCACGGCTTCATCAGGTGCTTTGCTGAGCATGTCTTCCTTCAACTCTTCCATGTCGGAGACCATCACTACATTGAAAGAAAGGGATAAATTCAGGACTGAGCAAAGCTGATCAGTCTCTTGCCCGTTTCCTCCATACGCTGCTTGTTCATGGTTCCCACCGCCGTTATCCTGAGTGCTGGACGGTCATCCCGCTCAACCAGAGCTTGCATCAACACGGTCCATTGGACTCCGCTCCTGATGTGCAGATCAACCAGGTGGATCTTGGTTGCCGATTTGACGTTGTCAATGACTGCTTGCATCGCAGCAAATTGTGTGACCTGGGTGAAGGGGATCGCCTGGTGGCATGCCAGGAAGGAAAGATTGAAATCCAATTCAAGGTTCCTTGCATAGGCAAACCGTTCAATGATTCTCTCAGGAGTGATCTTTCCTGTCTGCATATCAATCCTATGCTGCAAAGCTTCGGCAAAGTGGAATACAATTTCTGGGCAGCATTCCCTGAATCGGAGGCGATACACAGGCAGCGAGTGATCAAGCCGCTTGCGAGGTCAAACTTTTTGTGACCCACGCACTCGCTGCAATCAAAAGAAACTGCACGAGTTCCACGTCTGCAGTTTCTGCTACTGAAATGTCCGTGATGGCAGAAGCGTATGGGTGGATAAGCCCCGAAAAGCCGTCAACATTTTTGGTGGAGAATTGGATGTACCTCGCTCCAGCCGCCCTGATGATCTCTCCCAGGGATAATCTCCGGCCCTGGCTGCTATCCTGATCAATATTTGTTGGGGAGTCGTTGCTCCAGTTTTGATCTTCTCTGGCCGCATTCTTGAAGCCCTTCCCATAATTGCTCAGAAGCTCCAGGGATGCTAAGGTAAACGAATGTGTTTTTCCCTTGAGCTGCTGCCATTTGCCGCCCGTTTCAGGAAGTCGTTGTTGCTGCGGCTGCTCGTTGTTCTTGGCCGTGGCCTGATCATAAATTGGTTGGAATGAATGCACTGCAGGCGTGCTGACCAGGTGCTGGAAATCATTCTGTACCCAATTAAACTGCGGCGGAGTACTCGTAGCTTGTTGACCACCTTCCAAGAAAGCAACCTTGCTGGGCGTGGGATTGTTCTGTTGCTGATAAAGGCCATAGAGACTGTTATCTTCCACATCGAACCAATCAGTATCCGGCGGCTGTGGTGGTTGTCGCTGTTTTTTACCTCCGTTGGCTTCTTGTTCATCTGCTTCGTAGTCCTCCATCAGATTCCCACAGTAACTCAATGATCTATGGGTTCGATTGTATTGGAATGATGAGGAGGAGGCACGAGTTAAATGGCTTTTTTTTATCCAACTTAGTTTGTCTCTTTTAAATAACTTGCTTATTCATAGAAGTAGCGTCGTTGAAACTGAGAAAGAATGCACTAGTACTTCAGTATAATTAGTAGCATCAATCAGCAAAGTATCCAATACACAAAATGCAGATAATAACACTTTGATGTGGAACTTTTTGTTTTCGTCCTTTCAACTCAATCACAAGTCACAACTCACAACAGTGTTGGCAATGGATTTGAGATTAATAAAATACATGGGATGATATTGAGGGACGGCATCTTTACATATTTAACAACAAAAATAACCTTGGCATGACATGGCAATTTTGGAAGAAATTTTGAAGTCTTTGATTTTAGGGTAAATTACATGTAACCCCCAGTAGTTTTATTTATTACCACATGGCCCTCCTAACATTTTAAAATATCTACTTCACCTCATAAGATTTTGTATAAAGTGAAAATTTGACGAAAAATAGCTTTGTAACATCGTAAATTAAAATATCAATAGTGCCTTTATTTAAATGCTAATAAATTAATCAATGGCTTAACCACCTCGTATAAAAGTATAAAGAGATTATGTGGATAAATACAAAAATCATAGAGGAATAAAGTGAATATTTATATAAATCATAAGGGGTTACATCGATATTAAGATTTTATCACACGCGCTTTTAAAAAAAATTTGGTATAAATGGCATAATTGATTGTACATTCTATCTATTTTTCATTTTGCATAAAACTACATGAGGGTTATGTGGCTATTTTAAAATCTCAGGGGGGTCATCTAGCATTCTGCAAAATCATAGGGGATAGTAAGTAATTTACCCTTGATTTTATACTAATGTTGAGTATTGACGTGAAGCAAGGGACAAAGTGAGAGGGACAATAAAGTCAGGGTGGGGAAGAAAATGTTAAAAAAAAAAAAAAATCATCTTGGCAATTGCGCAAAATTGGAAGCCAACAAATGTTATGTGTTGGTAACATGGAAGGAACATTGTACCATGTTGCATCTTAGCAAATAGCGATGCATCACACAAAATTATGCTGGAATAATATTGTTTTATGTGGGTGCATTTCTAGATTTTCTGAAAATGAAAGGAAAAGGAAAAGGAAAGGGAAAACAACATTTCCCTTTTGGAATCATTCGCTTTGCACTTTTCCTTTCTAAGAGAACAATCTTAAATTGAACTTTTCTGGTCAATATTAAGAACAATTCTAAGGATTATTTGCACGCCACGCATAAGAGCAAGAGAAAGTAAACAAGAGAAGATATGCCACTTCACTTCACACGAATTATGTCACTAAAATTTAGTAGTATTTAGAAATAGTATCATAGTTTATAGCAGAAAATTTTCGAGAACTCTACCTATACATCATTTCTATCGCATTAATTCCTTCTGTTCAGCATATTCTAGTATTCATTGTTTTCGAAGCAAAATACATATTAACAAGAAAATACAAGAAATGTGAAAGAAAAAGTGTCTGTATAATGGGTGCTCAACGGGGCACTCATTAACATATATTAAAATTTTTAAAACGTAAGATTAATCAAGAAAGGTAAATAAATATAAGGAAAGGTAACAAATATTAGTATGTATATATATATATATATATATATATATATATATATATATATATATATATATATATATAATATATGTGACAGATTATGTAAAATTTAGATGTGTTAAATAAGTGTCCAATGGGGGTTCGATAGAAAAATTCAAAGAAAAACAAAAAGTAAAGGAGTCATTTTATTCTTTCTTTGGAAAAAAGGGCATCGTCATATTTAACGGAACCAAAATGAAGTGAAAAAGATCTTGTCACAGGATTCTTGTCGTCGCCATATGTTTGGGTAAACATGTATCACACTTGTTTGTAAAGACGATGGATGTTTGGAACTTGTTGAACACAATAATGCGCTGTCTTTCTTGTCTGAGTCTTTATAGGGAATCTAATAATAATCCATTGGATTTAGTCATTTTGCTTTATTACTATACTCTGTGAACGCAAGACATTAGTGCTGAAGAAACTAGAATCTAGCTTAAGTATTTGGCTGTTTGGCTTTCCTATTTGTCCTTTTCGACCATTTCTTATTCTTCAGCAGTTTTTCCGGCAGGGTATAATTGCCAAACCACGAAATCCAACCAGATGCACAGGAGAAAAAGAAACAAATAAAGATCAGTTTTGGCTTTTCTTTCGGTGTTTTCTTTCTGCCGGCGTGGAGGAGGTGCAGTTTCTAAGTCGAATTTCTCAAAGAAAAAAAGGGAAAAAAAAAGAAGAAAAACAGCAACAAGAATGAGAATTAAGTAATTTTCATGATTTGTTAAACTACTGAAATAGTCCAAATTCTTGACTAATTTTCATGATATGTTGAACTACTGCATCTGAATTATACTTTTTGGTCGCGATTTGGTAGCGACCAGAGGCCCCAACCAAATCGAAAGGGGGAGGGGAGGGGTGGGGGTAGGGGTGGGGGGGGAAGAGAAGAGGAGTGGAAGAGGAAGAGGGAAGGGGAAGGGGGAGGAGGAAGAGGGTGGGGTGGTGGTTAGGCATGTAAATGGATTGGATTTTATCCAAGTCCAATATACTTGGGTAGGGTTTGAATTTAATTTTTCAAATCCAAATCCTACCTAGATCCAAACCTTGTAAAAGAGTTATGGATGTAGATAAGGTGTGAATTTTTATAATCCATATCCAAATCCAAATTCATACCGGCTCCTACCCAAACCCATGTATATATAATCAAATTATATATATTAGTAAATTTATAAAATATTCTAATATTCTATGGTCATTGGATCAAATATAGTAAAATTTCATGATTGTTTTCTTTTTACAAATTAATTCTGCTTATCATTGTAATTAGTACAAACTTTTTTAGAACAAGAAGAAAAAGTAAAGGCAAATAAACGAAAATTTGAATGTAGATACAGTTGAAGTTTTAAAAATAAATAGAAGCAGTCAATAATGGTTATTTTTTTGAATTCATAATATTGCATTCAACTTCTCAAATATTAATTTTATTATTTGAAAATAAAAATTGGATGATGTTTATATATATATATATTTTTGAAATCTATGTATTTTTAATATATTTTTACTTTAGTGTGTTTAGAAAAAATAATGGATACCCATTAGATATCTAGATTCAGGAGGATTTGGATTTGGACTTATTTTTTAAGATCCATAAGGGTCTGGATTAGGGTATCGGTTTAACTGAATTTTACAGAGCCTAAGTCGTATCTGATAATCTAATTCAGCATTTAAATTTAATAGGTTCAGATCTTAACATATTCAGATACGTTCGATAACCAAAGTTAGAACATCTGAATTCGTTAAGTTACACTAAATTTTTTAGGTAAAATTTGCTCCAAAATATAAGTGATAAACTATTCACTTATCACTTAATAATATGATATACATTCAAATGTATCAAATTTAATAGTTAACAATTCACTGATTTAATGGATTCAAATTTCAAATTTCAAAATTTAAATTTAAATTTTTAAACTTTAATTTTATCAAAAACACCTTAAGTGAGAGGTTAGATTTTGAGCCCTTCCACTTATAATGAAAAAAATGTCCACAAAAAAATCGTCGTACTAGCGTGAAGCAAATGGTTACATGTACATATGGAAACCTGAAAGATTCACTTCGGTTATACTCGAATGCATCTGGATATCGAAGTGTTGATGGCCGGACGGTGGTGGTGGGAGTGAAGCTTGATGCTCAGAGTAAAAAACTGCTCACTTGGGCTTTGGTTAAAGTTGCTCAGCCTGGGGATCGTGTCATTGCCGTTCATGTTCTTGATAGTAATGAAATTGTGGATCGTGATGGGAAATCATCTCTGCTGTCTCTTGTAAAGCTTTTGACTCTGTTCTTGCAGTTTATGAAGGCTTCTGCAACCTCAGACATGTGGATCTCAAGCTAAAGATCTGCAGAGGATCATCAATTCGCAAAATTTTAGTTCGTGAAGCAAAATCTTACTCAGCAACTGAGCTTATAGTTGGAACTTCAAGGAATCATCATACCATCAGGTCATCAGCCTCCGTAGCTAAATACTGTGCTAAGAAGTTGGCCAAGGATCGTTCAACTTTAGCTGTAAATAATGGGAAAATTATCTTTCATAAAGGGGCTCCATCTTCCTCCAATATCATCACAAAAGAAATTGAACATCACCATAGGAATGGTCTATTTAATGCACTTCAGAGTTCTCTGACTAAAAATAACAAAGCAATCACTGATGGCAATTTGGCAATGGGAATGATAGCATCTGACCACGTTACTAATGGGACTTTAGATCTAGCCCCAAAAAAATGCTGATTCTAAACATGAGGATGGTTTCTTAAAAAAGGGTTGTCCTATTTGTTCTCTTGCTACAGTACCTGAAGATGATCGCAATACACAATCAGCAAAAGAATCTTCCTGTGATGGCAGCAATGGAGACTCAATGGCGGTAGTGCCATTACAAAAGATAGAGGTTGCATCTAGTTCAATTTCGATGTTGATGAGGGAATTGCCTGAAGTTAGACCTGGTTGGCCACTTCTTCGCCGAGCAATATTATCAAACAAGCGAACTTAACAACTCCTCATTCCGTCAGATCACTGTGGTTCAGTGGGCATTGCGTTTACCCAGCAAGCATTTTCAGTCAATTGATTCAAATGAAAAAGGAAGAGTTTGTGGTCATGATAAAGATCAATCCCCCAAAATAGATGGAGAATGTAGTGCGATTGTTCCCATTGGCAATGAGATACTTATTCAGATGGTATATCTAAGGCCTTACCAAAGGAGTTGGAGGGTCTCCATGAGAAGTATTCAGCAACTTGTAGATTGTTTAAATACGAGGAACTTGTCTCAGCAACATCATATTTCATCCCCGAGAACATGGTTGGTAAAGGTGGAAGCAGTAAGGTTTATAAGGGTTG